CGACTGGGCTGTTCGATTTGCAACAGCTAGTTGGACCATGGTGGCAGTGACTGGCAGTGACTGGCAGTGCAGCCAGCCATCATCAGCCATCTGAACCTGTACAAACATGATGTGAATTGGTATTCTAATTGGCAGTAGTTCCATCAAATTGGCCGAAAGTACGTTTGAGTTGCCTTTCATGTGAGTAAATTGACAATTACAAGAGATGGAATTCTTCATTGACATCAGCCTCATGATGACTCATGTCGGATTGCTGAAGCAACGCCTGCCTGCGTCAGGCTTTGCACCCTGTCTATCCCCTCACACGGAGCAAGAGTAAGCATGGCAAACACCTGGAAACCAGATGGAAGCAGACTCAGGAAGGGGATAGACAAACTCAAAACACCCCACCGTGCTGACATCCAAGTGTTTTGATTAATTTTCCAGTCTCGTGGCTTTAGTTTCCAATCACAGTTGCTTTGAAATGGTGATGTTGGCGCTGGTAACTGTATGCGATTTGGATCGATTTGGTCATTGAAATTCTCGTCCCTGCCCATCTGACTGGACTGTTCGATTTGCAACAGCTAGTTGGACCATGGTGGCAGTGACTGGCAGTGACTGGCAGTGCAACCAGCCATCATCAGCCATCTGAACCTGTACAAACATGATGTGAATCGGTATGTAGCTCCTATTTTATTGTTGCGTGACACTGTGGCGTATGAAATTTAGCAGTGTCAGGTCGGTTTCAACATCAGGACCACATGTCTGTCAAACAAATCCATGGATCTCAATCTGCAGGGTGTGATGGTTTTTCTTTGTTTATAGCATTCCCAAACAGAGAAAAAACATCTTGCTGAAATGATGGCGCTCACAGAACTCTCTCCCTCATCCACGGCGACAAAAACTTTTGGAGAACGGTGCAAGGTGCAACCCCCTGCGTGGAAGTGGAAACCACCGACGGTATTTTCATGCGCTGAGGGTCATTGTGTGGATCCTAGATTTTTCGTATTTGCAACCTACTGCACTAGTGGTTTTGGTTTGGCCACGTTTGGACTTTTTTTCGTGTTTGGGATTTATTTTCGATTATGAACTGACCTGGTCAAGTGTTGCAAACTTCATTGTGTGAATTTGATTCACTTGTTGGTCACTCTTCGAGGTGACAAAGCCCAATATCTGAAATCACATGTTTAGCTAAGGGGAACTTTGGAGTGACCATTATCAATTATTGAGTTGTTTTGGCACTGGCTTAGATCCTGAGAGTCTACCAAACTAGTCAATTCAAGAGAATCTTCTTCCGATTTTTTACGAAACACCTAGAATCTATTTTTGGATCTACGATGATCTACGTACATCTGTACAAGAAGCAGATGATCGCAGCTTGATCCGTTCCACCTTGCTGGTCACAGGCATTCACAGTACAGACCTGTCAAATATGAATATCCTGTACCAATCGCGCAATGGAGAAGGCTGTTGTTAGAAGAAACTCGCAGCCATACCCTGGAGATGGTTCAAATATTTATTTTGTCATTTTTTGTCGTTTCTTTTGTCATATTTTTTGTCATTTCAGTTTTGTCTGTCATTTTGTTTGTCATTTTTTTGTCGTTTTTTTTTGTCATTTCAGTTTCGTTTGTCATTTGTTTTGTCATTTTTTTGTCGTTGTTTTTTGTCATTTCAGTTTTGTCTGTCATTTTTCTGTCATTTTTCGAAGAATTTTTCGATCTTTTTCACTATTTTTGAGAAACTTGCACCAAAACGACAAAAAAATGACAAATTTTCCACACAATGACAAAAAAATGACCAAAAAACGACAAAAAACAATGCACTTTTGCAGGTGGCAAACATTGCATTTTTCTCGAAGCAACAGAAAAATGACAGACAAAACTGAAATGACAAAAAAAACGACAAAAAAATGACAAAAAAAATGACAGACGAAACTGAAATGACAAAAAAAACGACAAAAAAATGACAAACAAAATGACAGACAAAACTGAAATGACAAAAAAAACGACAAAAAAATGACAAAAAAAATAACAGACAAAACTGAAATGACAAAAAAAAACGACAAAAAAATAACAAAAAAAATGACAGACAAAACTGAAATGACAAAAAAAAGACAAAAAATGACAAAATAAATATTTTGATTTTTTCAACCTTTGCCTGCCTAAGTTTCTTCTAAGGCTGTTGAAGCATTTGCAATCCATTTTGCGCGTCAGGTTATTTGGCAGTAATATGAATTCAGTGAGTCAGGATGAGGGAGACCTCGAGATAGGAATGCTGGTCTGAATGCACTGGCTAGGCGGCTGGACGGATGGCACACCATTGCACCTGAACAGCAAAAGTTCTTCATGCTTTCAGTATTTGTCACCATCTGTTCGGCCAAGCCGCAAACCCTTTTCACCACTTTAAAACTTTATCAAGCTCTGTCCTTAGCTGGACTTGGGCTCCTATTTTGTTTTGAATCAGATTGACAGGCGAAAACGGTCGGCAGCTGCATGTCGGATAGAAGTCCCAGGCATCCCCAGGCCAACATGATTTCTTAGCACTACCCATGATGACAATGATTGACAATGGAAAAAGCCAGCTGTAGAGTTGAAATGCTGCTGACATAGGTATGGAACAGCAAAGAACATCAATGAACAGCATCAACCCTGATGTCACCACTGTCAAATCCAGGGTGGCTCACAACCTCATGCACACCAGTACCCTGGTAAGCTCAATGTGGATTATGTTTTCCACAGTCTCTATATATCTCGATATAAAATGCCGAAATTAAGATGAATTAAGACATTTTGGGCAGCCGATGTGTGCATTCTGTGTCCATTTGCGTCCCTCCCATTTATGCCATTTGATGCCATTTTATGCCTCAAAGTTCGGCGCAATTCCTCAAGTGAATTGCATCTGCCTGGTTTCTGCAAGGAGGAGCTTGATTTTATCTTGGGTGCGGCTTCAGTCAGCCTTTAGACCACGTGGGGAACAGAGACGACATGCAGACTCTTGGCTACAGAGAAGGAGCCGGGCTTGAAGCCTCACCGGCACCCTCATGAAGATGATAAAGAAGGATGAGGAATGATGAAGAATGATGAATAGAATGGGCATGACGAGCAGAAACAGAATCATCAGAATCGCTCCGACTCCCAGTTGGCCAGCCAAGATTCTGTGGCTGAAGGATCACTTTGAAACCTCAACGGAGTCAACAGGAGCATTGAACCTTCTGACCTGGTGATATGATGAGATTTTTATTCTGAAAGACTATGAAGAGTTGTAAACACTCTGTGGCTACGCAGGGCCCATGAAGTCAAGAGATGAATCATTGCATGATAGCATCACACATTTCAGTTACTATCATAGTCTTATTC